CTGACGCGGAGCCAGTTCAAAGCGAGCAGGTGCTGGCTAACTAACTTTATGACGAGGAAAGGCTTTTCCCTCCGAAAGCAAACAGGCATGCACCAAAACTTGCCGGAAGAGTACGAAGAAAATATTCAGTATTCAGAGGTTCGTCCTAAACTTGCAGCACAACAACAGCTACCTGCTCGGGCAAATCGGGAATGCCGATCAGACGCCTCTTTACTTCGACATGCCTGGCACCACAGCCGTCGAGAAGAAGGGGGCGAAGCAAGTTCGCACGCTGACATCGGGCCACGGTAAAACAAGAGTGACGGCAATGCTTCATTGCACGTCAGATAGGCACATGGTTCTCCCGTACCTCATATTTAAACGAAAGACGCTCCCGAAAGGATTCGTTTTCCCGAGTAGTGGGATCGTGTGGGCCAACAAGACAAATGGGTGCGCGTTGCAATCGATGTCTTACTTTTTTTTTCCGTCGTGGAAACCGGGTGCGCGTTACAATCGAGGGCGCGGTAGAATCGAGTAAATACGGTATGTGGCCTCCGGCCATGCGAATACGCATCCCATTCCAAGGTGTCATCACTTAAGACTGGTAGCCAATTTTCTGCTAATAATAGAATAATCTGCACCTGTGTCTACTGATGCACTGACCGGAAGACCGTCTATCAGCACGGGAATGTCGAGCGAGACTTTGTCACTGCACTTGGACTTCAATTCAATGTCTGCAGCATTTCGTGCCAAACGTCGATGAAAGGTTTTCCGCACTGCGAGTTCCAGCGACCTCGTCCCGAAGGTCGCTGCCTTCACTTTTCTCGCCGAGGGCTTGGGGAGCGTCCCTGCGCCGTCATACAGAAACGTGGCCCAATGGCTGCATGTGGCCGTGAAGATGTGACCGCAATTGACGTGGTGAGAAAGGTAGACGTTGCTACACGAGGTGGTCTTCAGTTTCTCTTGGCCTTTGAACAACTTGGGAATGAGGTGAATCAATAGAGAAACTGCGCAGTCTAAGTTGTCAGTATAATCATTCCCAGTAGATGTGACCAGCTTCTACACTGTGGTAGCAGAAGATTCTTCTATCGGACATACACCAGATATCGGACTTCCGGGTACGAGAACAACGACCATCAATGTCCAAACCAGCGTGTGTTGATTGAACTGCAACTGAAGATATCATCTAGATCGGGACTGCTGGGCTAGAGACTGGCATGGAAGTGTGCAAGGCTTCGGCATATGTACACTTCCCAACATCAGTGGACACGGGAGGTGGTTCTAGATTGGTAGTCATTGGTTGATAGCAACGGTTATGCAGCACCTGCTGGACATTGTTCCGAATAATACTGGTGATGCAGCTTACCTCTGGCTGTCCCGCCTCATATAGTTTTGCCATTTCCACGTGGACGAGGGAGCGGAGGATTTCGCGAATTCAGGAGATGATGCAGCATTAACTTGCCGGTCAAATAGGGCAGACCGTTGATGAAGTACTTTCTCCATCGTAGTGGCTTCAGTCAGAAACTCCCCTATGCCCTTTGGAGGACTTCGCAATAGACCAGCAAAAAGCTCCTCCTTCACGCCTCGCATCTGATAGGGCAGCTTTTATTCATCTGGCATTGCCAGATCCGCTCGCCTGAAAAGTCGCATTAAGTCCTTCATGTACATCAAAGCGGTCTCGTTATGCATCTGGATGCATAAGTGCAATGCATGTTCAACACGTTCGCGGTGGCCGAGGCTCCTGTATGTCTCGAAGAGGTGGTGCTGGAACTCACGCCAGGATGTCAAGACATCACCTCTGTTTAGGAACCACGTTCGGGTGCCGCCGTATAAGCAGACGTAGACATTGCGGAGTTTGCCATCTTTGTCCCAGTAGTTGATCGCTGTGACATGTTCGAACTCGCTCTGCCAGTCGTCCACATCTTCAAACAGCTCTTGGGGAGAGGGACTAGGCATCAACGGCGCATTCTTGACAGTGCAATATATCGCCGTAGATGACATAGGAGTTTTCATGGCGATTTGAGGTGAATTCATAGTCACTCTGTCGATGAGATGTTTTGGTGTCTCTGGTGGTAGGCCTCGTTGGCGGCGGCTTGCTATACGAACTGGCGTGTTCACTAGCACAGGGCTTGTGTTCCGGCTCCTGGGGGGGCTCTTGTGCGTGGGGCTAGTCGTGAGTCTCGTACCTAAAAGCTCCACCAATTTTATCACGTTCAAGACATTCTTGCATTGTACTGCTCTTTGAGCTAGGCAAAGAAGTGGCTCACTCCAAGCATTTTAGTGAATGTACAGGAGTTTGATATACAGGTGCAATGGTCCCATATTTTTGCATGGGAAATTTCTCTCTCTCTCTTTCTCTCTCTCTCGGGGGGATTTCTCAACAGTTTGATATAGCCAATAATTCGATATATCTGGGATGGACTATAGATTTTTCTTCTACTGCAACTGTTTTATCTGTCAGTATGTATTCCAGAGTAGGGTTGAAAGTTGGCTTTTACTGTTACATGTCAATTGTATTATTTTTTTTTGGTCTCGTTGCAGAACAATTGTCCAAATTTTCTAGAATTCTCAAAATGCGGTTGATGTTACTGAGGTAAGCTATTCGGTTTTTGGTCTACACAGCAAGAATTTCTTGTCTAGCAGCACTTCTCATGGGTGGGTGCCCTTCCATTCATCAGCTTCTCTGCTAGTACTAGTACTCACCTAAAGTGAACTAGTCTCTTGACGTATATGTGTGGTGGGGGCTTTGGTGCATGCATCTTATTGGCTTATATATTGGTAATTCTTGTTTTTTTCTGGGATTTGCTCAAAGGTTATATTATGTGCTATTTAGCTTTGTGCAATAATTAGGGCAAAAGTTCTATGAACTCTCTGTGACATACGCGCTTTAATGTTGAGCACATTTATTCACACAAATTTGTCACAACCTCATCAGCCTCAGGCATAAATTGAGGCAAGAAGGTTACATATAAATTAGGTCAAGATAAACGTGGACTGATATATGGTCGATTTCACACAACCTTTTAACATGAAGTTGAGCTTGCATTCAGTGGCACACAAAATATTCAGTGGCAGTCAAAATGGTCCCTGCGTTGTGTTTGAATGCCTGTCTGTAAGAGAGTAATTGACCTTTTGATAGGTGACTTGTTTCCTCAGTGAGTTAATGTTCGGTACTAGACTCTTTATTGCCTTTTCCGTTGTCCTTTTCTAAAAAAGGTAATTCACATCTTATTTGGGAGGTAAAAAATTTTGGAAAAAGTCTTTGTGTACTTTGTGATTATTCAAAACGCTGAAGAGCCCCAGTATTTCTCAAGAAAACTTGCCTGAAAACAGCTAGCCCAATCTAGTCTGACAATTTTAAAAGGTGTAATATATAGTCTATTCATGCACAGTTAGCCATAAAACTTTACGAACCACGCGAGTGCCTACCAAGTTGCCCGTCCACGCCACCTAGCGTTGCACCATCTATCATTTACTGCACTGCTTAGCCAGAAATAGTTCCTGTTATTCGCTGGTATGTCGATGTTGTACTGCTCCACAGAACATTGTTGGTTCATTGTTCTCATGCAGAGTGCTTCTCTACAGTATCAGCATCACACGTTTCCTTTTACAGCAGAATCGAAGACACCATAGTGTGCTTCCAACAGCGCACCGTTGAGTGGATGGCCTTTGTGATAAAAATAGTCCTTGATAGCTATGCTGATGGACTGTTCTCAGTAAAGAAGCATGGATCTATGGCTGTCAAAAAATGCATCGTGTTAAAGTCTCAGTTTCATCGCAAAGGGGAAGCATTTAGTGCGATAGCAAGAAATTGTATCGTTAAATGTAAACATTTTGACAGTAATCTGTCAGGCTGGGTGGAATATTTAAAGAATTGAATAACCTCCAGCGATAATCTTGTACAAAACCAGACGTTTCAAGACTCGCTTGGTCCCTTCCTCAAGGGTGACTGCAATGGTCAGGGAAGCATCAAGGCACCTTGTCCCAGACTCTATCTTTCCCTTACGTTTGGAGGCTGTGCATGTAGATCAAGGGCATTGTTCTTGGGGACCGGTTCACGTTTGCCGGTGTGTGCTGTATGTGCCAGAACAGATTTTTTTCTGTTTTCATGACAGAAGTGCCGTCGAAGTCAATCTTAGGTTGTACTTCTCACAATGCTCTACAAGGGCACTGCATTGCACTTCCATTTTCCTGGCATCGTTCTTGTGCTGCCGCATTCTTTCCAGGAAGCACTTATTCTCGCCTATGCTTGCTGGAGATTCTGCAAGATAGACGATCCAGGGAGCAACACCAGGGTTTGTTATACAATGTGTCGTATGCGAAATTTCTAGCGAGCTACATAGGGAAGAGTCCGATGAGTGTGGCTGGCGATGAATGCCCGCCATTTTCTTTTAATATACAGGCACTGAGATGACCAAAAGTGTTAAGGTGACATGCCAAACAGGCGGAGCTGCACATGCAGGTCCTCACAGCTTGAAAAATTTAAAGCACACATTCTTTGCTTGAAATAGAGACTTCAGTGCTACCAATTGAAGCTTGCTGTCTGCATTTTCTCTGTCTTGGATTAGGAGTTTTACTGAAGTACATAAAGCTTCAGATTGTCGAAGTTGTGACCTGCCGCACTAAATTTTTGTACCACTGCTTTCGGTAATTTTTTCATCATGTCTGTGGAATAGCCATTTAGTCTATAATCAACAGGCTGTCTTGTTTTGCCACTGTACCGTTTGTGGCTGTATGAACACTCGATCATGAAGGCAAAATTTGAACTAATGCAGGTAAACTAAACTTTGCGTGATAGACAAAATCACTTTGGCGCTCACAACTATAGCACCATTTTGAAGGTGTTTGCAAGTCTTACATTTTGGACAAGTTACTATGAGGGTTTACTTTTGCATGCAACCACTAGTCCTTAATTAGGGCCCTCCATTACTCTGAGCACTAATGGGACATACTTTTTCAAGTTGCTCGTTCCTTGCCAAGTAGTTGCTTGCCTTGAGGTTTCTTTTTGCGCTGTCTTGCAGCAGCCACCAAGCGAGCAGCGGACGAGGATGTCAATGAGCTGCCCGAGGTGGACCAGAACGCCAAAAAGGATCTCCGTTCTCGCCATCTCGCCAGTCCGAAGGCCAAGAGGAGTTAATCTCTGCCTCCTAAAATTTTTTTTCTCAAGTTACATTTATCTTTTACTCTTCCTTTTCACTCTGCCTTGTTTGCAATGGACTGCCCCTTCGATTGTAAATTTTTACTTCGGTTGTTCAAGGCTTGAAAATTTGTTTTTTCACTTTGCACTGCCTCTTTGATTGGAATTTTTGCTTTGGTTGTTCAATGCTTCCAAGGCAGGAAAATTGGTTCTTTCACTTGATTAGAGTTCAAGAGCAAGGTTTTGCGAGTGAGCTGTACGAGTGTCTGATCTCGAAACCCATGTTTTGAATGGAAAGGGCTTGGGCTTTCTTGGCTTGTAAAGTCCCCATTATGGCACAGGGATGGAACTGTCAGTGTTCTGCTCCAACCTGTTTGCTAAATTAGCAATGCAAGCAGAAACTTCACCAAGGCTTACTATAGAAGATGTCCAGTGTTACAAGGTTGCAAAGTAAGTGAAGCCAGACGTAGTTGGTGGAGATAATGCCTGCGTATCTGTTCTACACGACCATGCAGTGCGGTGAACACTCTGGCAAGTTCAGAGCTTGGCTGTCCCATATTCTTGATTTACTGACACTTCTTGTGTTTCAGTTCTAAATATTTTGTAATTACACACTCGTCACAGTAAGAAAGTACCTTGAATATAGCTACGCTTTAAATTTGGTGCAAAAAGTATGGGCAAAATTTTCTACAGCTTGCAGCCTAGCACATTTAATTATTGGTCTGCAACTATCAATAGGTGAACAAAAAAAGACTAAGAAGAAGTGGTTGCACTAAAGTACCGTCTCGTTTGGCCTCCTGAACAGCTGAACTGAGATACTTGGGGCGGCCCTAAAAAATGGCAGCCAGGACACTTAGGCCTTCCACGGTGATTTTGTATGCTGCCTTCTCCTTTGTCATTTTGTTGCTTTACCAACCTGTCATGTGGTGGTGAGAAAGAGCACCCACACATACCTCCAGCATACATGCCATTCTACTAGCACCCAGTAGTTGCATGAAGCTGCTAAGAGATCAGGGTAGTTTCTGCAATAGCTACAAATCAATGTTGGGTTCTTCCAGTCACCTTTTTCCAATTTCAAGAGGACCACATGCTGCTTTGACAGAAGTGTCTTGTTCACTGGTCATTGTGCAAGATATGCTTGTATCACCAACAGCACCACTATGTCAAAAGATACTGTGTAGTATTCTTTTTTTAACTGTACTTTTTGTCTTTTTCCTTTCTCACTTTATTTAATTTTCTTCTTGTAAAACTAGGTTATCTACTGTACAATTGGTTTCTTGCGTACCAGGCAATGTTATGAGTGTGCACATTCACGATCAATAAAAAGACAACGCATTGAATATGCAGGCTTGCATTGTGTAACGGAATGATATGCTAAATAGACTAATGCCACAAAATACGACTTTACTGTCATGCAGAAGGAAAGTCTTTCACAGATCTGAACCATTGAACAGGTGGAGTGACATCTTAATGACCAGTAGCCTTAGCACACTGTTGTAACATTTCTTCCGATGTGCTAAAACAACAATGGGACAAAGACGTGATTTGGCTTAACTGGGTGTGCAGATGGGAGAAATACGTGATTTGGCTTAACTTGGTGTGCACAAATCTTAGCGGTAACGTATGGAGTAGTTATTTCATGAAACACATTGCAGGCCAATAATAGCTATGCTTTAAAATTGAGACTGATTTCATCATTGGCTCTTATGTATCAAACACTGTGTGCTGTGCTAGCCATTCATCCTATAGTCCTGTCTGCTTAGAGCACACACCACTTACGTGCTCCAGAGAGTGAGAATCGCAAAGTCATCTCTTCTTTGTAATAAAATGACTTTTCCATACATGTTTCTGACTGTTGTAGTCTTGCAGTCTGCTTCTATATTCATAGGTGAATGTGCCGCCCTATATGCACCATGCCTTGCCAGTCCACTTTTCTTGTGCCATCCTCATCCAAAACACATTATTGCATGAAAACTGTTCCCAAGTTGGCCAAATGCCGGGCAACATTGAGAGGTTCAATTCTAGTTGCTTTGTACAGGGAGTTGGAGCTACTCATTTGTTTATCATTCGTTAAATATTATGCTAAAAAAATGGAGAGATTACTTGAAAATTGGGCCCACCCTTAAGCTTCGCCTTCTCTTTCTTTACCATGCCTATTCAAATCAATCACCAGTGCTCGACGCATTGGATCGTCAATTTTGGTATGTTGAATTTGTTTCTCGTGCACCCAGCACTTTCTAGTAATCAGTCCAGCCACTCAACTTTAAGAATCAATTTGAATTGGCCCGTTTTGGCAAGATAGTGATTTTCTACATACCTTTGCATGAACCAATGTGTGCGTGTTGTTGGGTGCTTACTGTAACTTCACAAAAGTGCGTGCCTCTCACGCTTATGGTACAGTAACATCAAAGTTCTGTATAAAAATATTCTTTGCAAGTTGAATATCAATTTAGGGTGTCTGCTTCACAATCTTGAGTGTGCTGAGCAGTAATAATTGCCAGAAATGTATACCAGCTAATAAATAGAGAGCTGTTGCTAAGAGTTGGGGGAAATTCATTCTACAAAAAATATTTCTGAAGGTCCGTCACATGTGTAAAGTGCACAGGTAGCTTGCTTTGGTTTCGCTTGTATCATATCATACACAGGGTTGCATTTACTGTCACTAGTCGCTCCTATGGCGGCGGCGTGGTGGTGGTGGTATAAACATTTTAATACAGAAAATATACTTGAGGGTTGTGGCATATTGCATGTTTGAGTGGCAAGAGACTCTATTCCAGGATGCCAATGAAGCTGGCCGCTACTCGAGCGTGCCTCACCAAGGAGCGTTGAGCATCCAAGGTCGAGCAGCCGAGCAGGTACTCCTCCCAAGCCTTTCTGGGATAGGGAAGGGGAGTGAAAAAAGAAGGGGGTTAGTAGGGCACGAAGCGACGTCGTGGTAGGTGGCTACCAGGACCTGGCAGGTCCACCAGATGCCACTGATTTCCGGCAAAAAATGCGTGGCGACCGCAGGACTGAGATAGGTGTTCGTCTGGAGGCGGCGTAGTATTCGCTCGTCCGCTTTCTCCAGACCACTTGCGAGGTCCGGGTACAGGTGGCGCAAAGGCCGGTCATAGGCAAGAGTTTCGCGAAAGCGCGTCAGATTCGTATTGCCAGATTCCGACTCGAGACATGGAGGGGCAGCGGCGTTCGCCGCCTCGTTGCCGGGCAGGCCCGAGTGGCCTGGGGTCCGTACTATATGAACTGGGTGAGGGCTGAAGCGCCAAGAGGCTGCCCGAAGTAGGTGAGCTGTCAGCGGGGCGATGGAACCCTAAAGGTATTGGGAACAGGCTGAGCGCGAGTCCGTCTGGATGATGCGTGAGGTGGGATGCGCGGTGGTCAAAGCATTGGCAACCTCCTCAGCTTGCGTCATAGTGTTGGCTCTAAAGGAGAGACCATCAACGTGTTTTCCCTCTGTGATCACGGCGGCCGTGAAGTGACCCGAGTGGGAGGGGCCCGAGACGTCTACGTAGGAAACGCCAGGGCGGTCGGAGTGTCGCGCCTGAAGGGCCGCGGAACGTGCTAGTCTACGGCCGGGATGTAGCTCGGGGTTCTTGTGGTGGGGTAGTGGTTCCACCCATAGTTTTTGCCGCTAAAGTTCTGGTATGGGCGTCGGAGTGTCTTGATCGGAGATCGCATTGAGGCCGAGCCTGTATAGTAAACGTCGCCCTGAGGGCGTTTGCGGCAGGCGATTAATTTGGCTAACACGATGAGCTTCCCACAGCTCTGCAATGGAGTACGTACTTCCAGTACAAGCCCAAAGAATTCGAATTTTCTCGACTGATGGAACGGAGCAAGCTGAAGCTAAACCTTGGGAGGAGGTAGGTGGGACACCGACAGAATAGCCGATTTAGCTGCAGAGTACTCTAGGCCGCACGAAGCGGCGTAGGCGTTCGCCAGAAGGGCAGCCTTTTGTAGGCGCTCTTAGATCTATGCTGCGGAGCCGGTGTTAGTCCAAATTGAGATATCGTCGGCATATAGTGCGTGGTGTATTCCCTCGACCTCGCGAAGAAGGGAGGGGAGGTGCTAGAGTACGTACTTTTCAAGCTGGCCAAAATATTGCTACGAGGCGCCACAAATGAACATAACAGTATTCTTCGCGAGATACATGAAAAATAACAGTTTTCACGCAGTAACGGAAGCGGTAAGAGTAGAACATTACAGTGATATTCTGTCCCTTGTGCATACTTCGACCACTTTGTGCACACCTTTTATTGCATGATGTTACTTGAAAAGTTTAAATTGTGGTTTACTACAATGTAATCGGTAAAGTTGAAAGTAGCTTGTGTCGGTGAAGCTTTGGCATATGGCTGCATGCTTGAAAGGCCAAGTCCGGAGGTTTTTTTGACACTGTAAAAGTAATGGTGCTTTTTGTCCCCCAGAAGCTCCTGTCATAGGCCTCATTGCAGGAATATTCGGAAAAGTTTAGTGTAATTTCAAATAAGCAAAAAAGTGCAACACCGAATCAAACCACAATACTATTTTCGTGTGACGTCAGCGTTGGTGAAAACTATGCAAACCGGAAACCGTGCAATGCATACCGGTCTCGCCAGCGCGGAGTATAAAAGCTGCCTGCGAAAGTGGTAAAGAGCAGAAGCTCAGGGAAGGGGAAAGATGACCTCATTGCAACAGCGAAACCATGTCTGTTACTGACTGCGCTATGGGCACAAGCTCTTCGGAGCTGTCGAAAAATGACACCTGTGGGTGTGTTCGAATAAGGACAGACCAAGGGGGGTTCCGACTACTTTTTGTTTTTTACGAAAATTATATAAAAGCTGGGAAAATGTCTCATTAAAAAGAATGAACATCGTTATGCAAAACTTGCTACATATTTTTGGCAGAAAATGTTTCACTAAAGGTGGAAAAGGGCACTTCTGCAACTTTCAGATTTAGCAGCTTTGGAGGCTTCTCACTCCATAATTCACTCATTGTGAATATCCGACCGTCTTATTTTTAGACGTGAAGCAGCTCTTTGACTAGTTTGTGTAACGCTAGTCAAAGTCCGTTCGCGCCGCGCTCCCCTGGTCGCAGGTGTTGGGGCGGTGCCAAGTAGGTCACGCCTCCTCTCGTGTGCGCGCACGTTGACGTCACTCTCTAGCCTGTCGCCGCGTGTCAACTCCCTCGCTTCACCCTCTCCACCACTGGCAGCGTTCGAGAGAACAGTTTTTCTGCGCTCAAGCTTGCAGGAAACCCAACCCGCCGTTGCGTTTCAAACAAACGTTCGCTCGAGTAAACGCTACACCGAGTTTCGCTTCAAACCGTTCTTCCAGCACCCGCGTCGACGCCCGTTTCAACTGGGTCAACGCGGTGCGCATTGCTGCTGCTTCGCATTCCATCAGGGTTCCCTTTAGGAAGATGGTCTATAATTTTTTCGTAAAATTACGCCATCAGTATTATTGTTTTATGCAAACAATAATTTGTGTCACGCAGAGTATATTTCTCGAAAAATTGCAGAAAATGGCAACACATGCGGGAGTGCGGCGCGGACGGACTTTAAATTTTGAGCACCTGCATACCTCAGACTGACCCCTAAACCCTTCATCGATTTTTATTAAAATGACGCAGACCACCCAGTCAGGACTTCCAATTACCGTGCTGTGCAATAGTGTTGCATCATTTTATTTTAAGAAAATTAAGCCTATTTTAACACCCATGCGTGGTCTTCAAATGATAATATAAGTTTTATGAACATAATAATTTCTTATCTCTCTTTTTTCTCTGTAATAAGCACGAGTTAGGCATATTGTGTTCTGTTTGCCCATTTGGAGCCGGAAGAAAGCGGCGCTTGAATTTTCAGCGCTCTTCTGTCTTTATCCCTACTACACTATGTTGAGGGGGCAGACACGCGAGAGCGCTTGCAAATGAAAGCTGGTGATACATAGTGCGAAGCTTTCTGCACATGAACCACTTTAGCTCACATCGTACACTTTTATAATGCCAAAGAAGATTCTATTTGTATTTCCTTGAGAATATGGGTAAATTTTACCGCTGCGCCTCTGCTGCCTAGAACCAATTTTTCTATGGTGGGTAGTACAAAAAGTACGAAAATTTAGGTTAGTTATTGTTTCTCCTAAGGCAACTAATATTTAGTTGTAGAACTACTAGCTTACGGCCATTTCTCAATTATCCCGCAAAAATATCTTCCTACCTTTAATGATAATGAAAGCCGTCGTGTTGACATGTTCGCCGGTGTATTTTCTTCCATAAAGCAACTATATATAATATTTAGGTTTAGAACCACTTACAGCCATGTTTCTATTATTACCCTCACAAATATTTTCTTACACTTCAATGATAATGAAGGCCGTCGTGTTGCCTTGTTCGCCGGTGTATTTTCTTCCATAAAGCAACAAATTTTTACAGCGAAAGCTGTTATGAGATCACAGCTCGGATCTCGCGCAGCGCCACAGTTGTTCGCCGCCGCCGGTGTCCGCAACCACATCGTGCGAACCTGTACCAATGACACAGTGGAGCTCTAACCCGGGTCCGCTGGGTGCCAGCCCAGTATTCTACCACTGAGCCACGCCGGTACTTGAGACTTGTTCGGCAAACCTACATTAGACAGGCTTGATGACGGGAAAGCAATCGCGTTAATACGGCTTATAAAGCGTTTTAAAACAGCGAAAGAACAAGCAGTCGTCGCACAATCCGAATAGCGTAACGAGTGGGTCGGCCAATGCTCCAGCTCATCACAAAAGCTTGTTTTTGTTCAGCTATTAACTGTGGTGCATACCCACATCAGACATAATTCCTCATTGTCGTCAGCCACTGCATGAACAATTGGCACAAAATTCCTCGCAATAGTTT